AAATTTGAGCTCAGGACAACAATACCTTTCAAAGGATATTTTATAAAAATTCCGTCAAAAATGGCTAGTTAAAAAGTCGAAATTTGTCTGAAGAAAAAAAAACCACCCCGAGCACAAATATTCCGTTTCTTTCGTATCGAAAGTCGGAACAATTAGAAGCATGTCGATTCTTATTAAAGCTAACAACAACAAATTTTATCTATATTCAGAGCTGGTTTAATGCGTTCTAACCAAAGATTGATAGTTGTCAAATCGATTTGAAAATATGTTAAGGCATGCGTCGATTTACTCAAAATAAAAAATCGGCAAAAAAGTGAAATATTTGCGTCGTTTTCGGCATATCATTCAAGTATGCAAGAAAAAGAAGAGGGCCAAGAACCGATCCTTGTGGAACACCTACATTCATTGAGTTCCATTAAAAATCAACCGTGTTCCATTAAAAAACAACAAACTTTGATCTTAAGATTTTTACTTGATCAGCGAAGTTAAATTAACTATCGACAATTACACAGGGGCGTTTACATGAATTTCCGGACAAAAAATTATTCTCGTTAATTAGCATATTAAACAAGACTGCTCGTATCAGGGCGAAGCCCTGAATGTTCCGACTGCCCATTAAGGTTTATGGAGCAGTAAAATCATTAAAAAATTAAAAATAATAAAACAAAGGGAAAATTTTCTTTTCAAAAATTTGATATTTTTTTATAAAAATCATACCCCACACGCCATATAAACTACAAAAGGATAGATTTCGCTACTTGTAACAAATCAATTATGGCAAATAAGCTTCGTTAAACCAATTTGGAACGATTTCTAAGACGGATTAACTCTCCGCTTACGCGTTAATAGCGCGAAATATATCGCGCGTTAATTGTCCCAAATTGGCCAAAATGGCAATCTTTAAACCCCCATAATTTTACGAAAAATGATCACAGGTGAAATTTCTTTTCAAATTGTAGCTCAGGACAACAATACCTTTCGAAGGATATTTTAAAAAAAATCCGTCAAAAATGGCTAGTTAAAAAGTCGAAATTTGTCTGAAGAAAAAAAACCCCACCCCGAGCACAAATATTCCGTTACTTTCGTATCAAAAATCGGAACAATTAGAAGCATGTCGATTCTTTTAAAGCTAACAACAACAAATTTTATCTATATTCAGAGCTGGTTTAATGCGTTCTAACCAAAGATTGATAGTTGTCAAATCGATTTGAAAATATGTAAGGCATGCGTTGATTTACTCAGAATAAAACATCGTTGCAAGAAAAAGAAAACGGCCAAGATAAATCATGCAAGAAAAAGAAGAGGACCAAGATCCGATCCTTGTGCAACACCTACATTCATTGAGTTCCCTTAAAAAACAACCGTGTTAAGAACAACCCATTGACATATGTCCCATAGACAGCTTTCAAACCAATGATGGGCAACACCTCTGATGTCAAAAAAAAACAAGTTTTTCTGGAAGCAGCTTGTGATCAAGTGTACTAAATGCTGTCTTCAGATCAAAAGAAAAACTACACTTAAAAGTTTACCTGTATTAAACCTTAACTTTTCTGTCAATTAAGCTAACGCACTTATGGTTGCAAACTTCTGTAAAAACCCATATTGCTTTGCAAACTTCTTTCAAACTCATAAAACAATTTAAAATTTCCAAAATATCCAAAAAAATCGAGCGTACCTTGCTCTTTCAAAGGCTTAGCTACAGCTATTTAGAAGTGATGAAGGTCTATAAATGTTCATAATAAATTGTTACCAGGTGTATGAAGCGGAAAAGCCACTAATTTTTTCAGTAGAACAGAAACTTTCCAGCTTCAAACAGGAGGTTTATCAAAAACGTACGATAGGGAACTACTATGTAAACTTTTCTATTCAAAAACAAATTCCGTAGTCCATCAGGTCCTGTAACATGTTTAGCTTCCGAATTATTGATGAATTCTACAACTTCAAGAAAAACATCTAAAAAGGGTAACTAAACGCTCTACAGTATCAACTGAAAAGCTTGATTCAGTTCTCAGTATACCACTAACACAAGATTTTGGCCAACTGTAGAGATAAGCTGATTAAAAACCTTGGCTATATCAAAATTGTCCTTTTCAAGACCGCAACCTGTCCGACTGGGTCATTTTACTATTTAGTTAATTTATTAACTGAAAAATTTGTCTCTAGTCTCCAATTTCTTTTATTGCGTTTATTGAAATACTAATGTTTCTGGCATTATCTTACTTGCTTTTCGGCTTTTCTTCTCTCCGCAAAAGATAGTGTTTTGTGTTGTTTTGAATATCAGCTTTCCATAATTTGTTAAATTTATTTCTCATCATCAATGCAATTTTTAATTTATAAACAAGACTGCTCGTATCAGGGCAAAGCCCTGAATGTTCCGACTGCCTTTTAAGGTTTATGGAGCAGTAAAAACATTAAAAAATTCAATGAAATAAAACAAAATCAATTTTTTTCTAAAACTTGAAATTTTTTATGAAAATCATCCCCCCACACGCCTACAAAATTACAAAAGGATAGATTTCGCTCCTTGTAACCAATCAATTATGGCACATAAGCTTCTTTTAAACTAATTTTGAACGATTTCTAAGACGGATTAACTCTCGGCTTACGCGTTAATAGCGCGAAATATATCGCGCGTTAATTGTCCCAAGTTGGCCAAAATGGCAATCTTTAAACCCCTGTAACTTTACGAACAATGATCACAGGGGAAATATCTTTTCAAATTTGAGCTCAAGACAACAATATCTTTCGAATGATGTAAAAAAATTCCGTCAAAAATGGCTAGTTAAAAAGTCGAAATTTGTCTGAAGAAAAAAAAAACCCACCCCGAGCACAAATATTCCGTTACTTTCGTACTGAAAGTCGGAACAATAAATTAAGGGATATCAGAAATTTATGTACTACTCTTGTCTCTAAATGGTTCAAAATCATCAAGAGTTTCAATGATACAGTTTTGAAAAACAGCATCTGATTCATCAATGTTGTTATCTTCATCAATAAGACTTGATTGAGCTAGCTTTATTTTAAATTTGAATTGGTAATCTTTTGAGCATTTTCTAAATGTAGAAAAACAACATATCCCCGGAAACTTTTCGACTAAGGGGACTTTTCTTGATAAATCGTGATGTAAGAGCATTGGATAATGATCAGAAAAGCATACACTGTAGAAAAAAAATCTCTATAACTGGGTCAAAAAGATTGCGGATACGGAACTGACCGATGAAAGATGAAGATTTTTAATTGAATCTAGAAGGGGTATATTCCAAGAGTTCACACCCATTTGATGATTTCACGCTGGGGTTTATTTCGAACAATTTAATTATTTCTGTGAAAATCCATATTCAAATCACTAGCTATTATTTTAAGTAACTTAAATTTAGATAACTTCTCTAAATCTTTCTAAATCTCTTCGGTGATTTTCATTTTATCAGCGCGTGAAGGCAAGTAGACAACCAGTTTTATGATTTCATTTCATTTGAAGTCAATTAACAAAGAAGCCGCTTCTCATAGTTCCGCTGCAAGTTTTTCAATTAGATAAAAATTTTGTTCTAGTTGAACCATTGTACCGCCAGCGCAAGTTTTCCGCGTTTTTACAATTAAGCAAGGATAAACAGTTAGTTTTAAAAAACTTAGTCAGTCATTTTCAAGGAATCATGCTTCTGTTAAACATAACATTAGGAGGAGACTCAAGATTAGCTAGAAGTGCTTCTGAATCATCAAAAAGGTTTATTAAAGAACGAACTTCAGAGAGATAAAATGAAAACTTGAACCGATTTATAGCACGCACTATCACTTGGAACTTTAAGAGCCGGCGCGATTTGAAGATTATTCAAAAACACTATTAAAGCACGCGTTTACATTATGAAAAGTATAATTGAGATATTGGCCTCCTTCATATAAGCTAATTATCCTGTAGATTTTGCCATCATTCTTCCAACTGAAGAAAATTGTCCCTTGCTTGGTCATGTCGATGTGATTCTGTCATCTGCTCTCATTAGACTAATGGATTTGACCTAGGCCAGGCCTAGTAATATCTTCAAAAGTTGGACTTTGGCACCCGCCTTGTAAAATATACTACGATCGATTTGGCATTTGTGTTTTGTGTTGTTTTGAATATCAGCTTTCCGTAATTTGTTAAATTTATTTCTCATCATCAATGCAATTTTTAATTTATAAACAAGACTGCTCGTATCAGGGCAAAGCCCTGAATGTTCCGACTGCCTTTTAAGGTTTATGGAGCAGTAAAAACATTAAAAAATTCAATGAAATAAAACAAAATCATTTTTTTTTCTAAAACTTGAAATTTTTTATGAAAATCATCCCCCCACACGCCTACAAAATTACAAAAGGATAGATTTCGCTCCTTGTAACCAATCAATTATGGCACATAAGCTTCTTTTAACTAATTTTGAACGATTTCTAAGACGGATTAACTCTCGGCTTACGCGTTAATAGCGCGAAATATATCGCGCGTTAATTGTCCCAAGTTGGCCAAAATGGCAATCTTTAAACCCCTGTAATTTTACGAAAAATGATCACAGGGGAAAAATCTTTTCAAATTTGAGCTCAAGACAACAATATCTTTCGAATGATGTAGAAAAATTCCGTCAAAAATGGCTAGTTAAAAAGTCGAAATTTGTCTGAAGAAAAAAAAACCCCACCCCGAGCACAAATATTCCGTTACTTTCGTACCGAAAGTCGGAACAATAAATTAAGGGATATCAGAAATTTATGTACTACTCTTGTCTCTAAATGGTTCAAAATCATCAAGAGTTTCAATGATACAGTTTTGAAAAACAGCATCTGATTCATTAATGTTGTTATCTTCATCAATAAGACTTGATTGAGCTAGCTTTATTTTAAATTTGAATTGGTCATCTTTTGAGCATTTTCTAATTGTAGAGAAACAACATATTCCCGGAAACTTTTCGACTAAGGGAACTTTTTTTTGATAAATCGTGATGTAAGAGCAATGGATGTAAAAAAAATCTCTTTAACTGGGTCAAAAAGATTGCGGATACGGAACTGACCGATGAAAGATGAAGATTTTTAATTGAATCTAGAAGGTTCATATTCCAAGAGTTCACACCAATTTGATGATTTCATGCTGGGGTTTATTTCGAACAATTTAATTAATTCTGTGAAAATCCATATTCAAATCACTAGCTATTATTTTAAGTAACTTAAATTTAGATAACTTCTCTAAATCTTTCTAAATCTCTTCGGTGATTTTCATTTTATCAGCACGTGAAGGCACGTAGACAACTAGTTTTATGATTTGACTTCATTTGAAGTCAATTAACAAAGAAACCGCTTCTCATAGTTCCGCTGCAAATTTTTCAATTAGATAAAAAATTTTGTTCTAGTTGAACCATTGTACCGCCACCGCAAGTTTTCCGCGTTTTTACAATTAAGCAAGGATAAACAGTTAGTTTTAAGAAGCTTAGTCAGTCATTTTCAAGGAATCATGCTACTGTTAAACATAACATTAGGAGGAGACTCAAGATTAGCTAGAGTGCTTCTGAATCATCAAAAAGGTTTATTAAAGAACGAACTTCAGAGAGATAAAATGAAAACTTGAACCGATTTATAGCACGCACTATCACTTGGAATTTTAAGAGCCGGCGGGATTTGAAGATTATTCAAAAACACTATTAAAGTACGCGTTTACAGTATGAAAAGTATAATTGAGATATTGGCCTCCTTCATATAAGCTAATTATCCTGTAGATTTTGCCATCATTCTTCCAACTGAAGAAAACTGTCCCTTCCTTGGTCATGTCGATGTGATCCTGTCATCTGCTCTCATTAGACTAATGGATTTGACCTAGGCCAGGTCTAGTAATATCTTCAAGAGTTGGACTTTGGCAACCCGCCTTGTAAAATATACTACGATCGGTTTGGCATTTGTGGATTTGGATGGGAGGTTTTGTGCGATTGAAAACTCTCATTCGTCAATATATGCACCAACTTCTTTAGCGATACGTAACACCTATTCAATAGTTGTTTCTCTTTCAAAATTGTTAACACTTGACATTTCCAATCTAATTACCATGATAATGTCTCTACTGTTCATCTCCGCTTCCAGATTTCCTTTCGCCTCAAGAAATCCTGAACTGTTCATCAGGTGGTTCTGCACTTCAGCTTCTGCAATCCATTTATTGCTTCATCTACCATAGTTTTGACCAAGCCTTTCAGTTGTACATTTCAGTTGTTCCACATAGCGCTCTGCAACGACCTGATAGTCTCTCGTATTTTCGTCGATAGCATTTCCATAGATGACCTTTCTTCGTCACTTGGGCTCAAGACTGCACAGGTTCTCCTTTTGTCAGGTCGAGATAATGGCGTTTGACGGAGATATCTCAAACTTTGAAGCGTCTCAGGAGCATTCACCTCGGCTGAGCCATTTTGGATAACATCATCATTCATCTTTCGTCTCTGAACCTTTTTAATATGTTTAGCACAACAATAAAGCATTCCCCTATTTCGGCGCTTTCGACTGCGCAATCTTACATTTTGGTAACTTAAAAAAAAACAGCACAATTCTTGAACACAACTTCATCCATTATGCTAAAAGCTTTGTTTTTGGTTGTGGATGAGACTAAAAATGCTACTGCTCAGACAGCATGCTAAGGGATGAGTGAAGCCGCAGACCAAATATCTAACCTGTATGTCACAGCTTTGATTCCAAAATGGTCCGCCCTTTCTTGCGCTTTCATCATAATCCATGTAACGTGATCGGGGTGATCTCCGTCCACTTCAACGCCTTTTCCAAACGGCTCCTCTTCTGGCCACGCCATAATCTTGGCGAACTCGACGCAGTGCTCTGGGAGACGGGGCGTGTGTGCTATCGTGCACAAGGGATAGTGTATCTGAGGCGGGTAGAGATCAAGAGTGCAATCAATACATGCGCTCATGCCTGAAAAAATGGAGGAAATAAGGTCTCGTCAGGTTCAATCCACATAACGATATCGCTGGTCAAACTCAGTACTACATTCAAAACACATCTAGAAAACCGTTAAAATCTGACCAACGAACGCACAAATCACTCCAGTCGACCACGTTTTCCAAATGTATCCTTGAACCCATACTTTTGCAGGTCAAACAAAAATTCTACCAATATATAAGCCAACCCAATAACTTTATACCAACCCAAAACTGCGAAATAAAACTTAACAGTTAAAATCAATCGATTTAAGCAACAAACTAAAACAAGCTGTTATAAGCCAAATGTGATAATTGACATCGAATCAAGCTGCTCACGTGGAAATTCGGAAAACTCCCCTAACCATTTAAATATCAAACTCATCCAAAAAAAACTTACGCACATGCACAGCCAAAATATCGCAAATCAAATTGATTCGAACTCTAGAGACTGTTAAAATTAAGTTTAAATTGGAAACAATAGAGTGAACTGCCAACGCAATTCGATTTTTTATATTGCCCTCATCTAAATCGTCAGAAAACACCCCTTTGCTGTACACTCTGAGCCATCATCAGTGTCAACAAACGGACACCCATTTGCCAGTTGCTGAAAAATGTTTATGAACTAGTTAAAATTCAATCCCCTAAGAAATTAGGTTTGTCACGTAAGCTTTACCTCTGGTTTGAAAGAATTTTTCGAATACTATATTCCGTTAAACATATTTCAAAAAAACTCATTTTCGCCACAGGAACCGAACACACCGATAAAAACCATTGACAGCAACTAGTAGCTTTTTTCAAGTCCATAGCGGTTTCCCTACTTTTTCTAAGGATATGCCGTTTATGTATGTTAGATACCCATTACCTGGTATTCCGAGTGAACCTTTTATTCTGTCTGTCGGGTAGTTTTCAAGACAAAGAAAGCTCACCAAAAAGGTAAAAATGTCAAAATCAGCATTTACGCCAGGTAAGAAATGGTTTTCCTAATAAAATTTGGGAGTAACCGCTTATTCAGGAGAGATCCCTGCCTGCAACCTTTTCTTTTGATTGCAAACCTTATCTAAGATTTGGGAGGGTTGTCTTTTAGTTTCAAAAGTTTCAAAGGCTGGACTTTTCTCATGTTGATAGCGGTTTTTTGCCAAAACAAATGGATCTCCTGGTCTTTCGATGAAAAACTTTTTTCCAGAATTTGGTGTTCATTTTCGAGAGTAGTGAAAACGTTTCACAAAACAGTCAAAATCTCAAAAAAATAGTCTTTTCTTACGTCCATGGTGGTTTTCTTACCGCCAATGAATGAAAAAAAAACTACAAGCTCTCCTTTCCATTGACCCTTCTCCGAATTCAAGAGAGCATTATAAAAAAATTGAAGAAATTTGGCAAATAAACTACTAGTTATGTGTTTATTGTCCGTTTTCCCATTGTGGTGGGGTTGGATCTCCGGAAAGCGCGTCAGCGATGGTTCAGACGAGGGCATTTTGAATAAAATTTAAGCTATTAAATGGAGGATAATACGCTTTTCCATACTATCCGATTAAGGCAGTCAGTGGATTTGAGACCTTAAGTATTCAGGTCTCGTTTAACACAATCGATCAAGCGTTTTTAGGCCTTTTCCCTGGGACAGAAACATGGTTGGTTGCTTTTAGCGTATGGTCAATTTCTCTTCGGTGAACATGGCCATACCATCGAAGCCACAACCGCACTTAGAGCTTGTCCTGATCAACGAGACCTGTCATTTCAATTACTGCTTCGTAGGTCTTTATAAGTGATTCCAGTAACCCTACGCAGAGCTTTCATATCATCACTCTTAAGGAGAGCTGGATACTGTCTTAGATTGCGCGCAGGTTTCAGAGAAGTGCATCAGAACTAGGCAGAGACAAGCTCCGTAGATACGACACCTTGTAACCAAGTCAATATCTTTTTTCAGCACAATTAGCCGGCATTTCGTCCAGAAAGCTGCTACTCTGACCAAAGATACACGCATTGCGTCACTTTCAACGGAATTCATATCACCCAGATAGCAGAACTCTGTGACAGTACTCAGGGTTTCAACTTGATTAATCCGTAGAGTAGCATTCTGCATTCTGTTTGGGTGATAATTGGAAGCATTTTTGCATCTTGGGCAAACATAATTAGTATTATGTTTAGGTATTTGCATAATACAAATTATGTTAAGACTCTTGCATTTTTATGCACCCATTGATCAGAAGATTTGCAGCGTATTCAATTGGCGCCGACTCCCTTCAAATAACAAGCGCATGGATAACTTTGGATAACATGGAAATTTTTTGAATCAAATTCTTTGTCTAAACCGCGTTTTGGCAAAGCCTTGCTCCAAGTAATAAACTTCACAATATACTGGGATTCTGTTTCCGCAGATATCACAAGGTCATCTGCATGTAGCATATCCCATAGAACGACAGTTTCTCGCAGCCTCTTCCATTACTATTATAAATGACAAGGGGCTCAGTGCCGATCCTTGATACACGCCTACTTTTATTTCGAAGTAATCATTGCACCCTTGGGGCCGGCGAACTTGGCTTTTCGACTAGGTGTACAGTGACATTGTTATTAAACCAGATTTTTAGGAACTCCGTTGCCTCAGAGCCCATGGGATCAGTTCACTGGGAACACAGCCTAGGCTTTTTGGAGATCAAAAAACATGTGACGAAGGGTTTTTTTTTGTTTTCCGCAAACAGTTCATTCAATTGTCTAATAAGAAAACGGCATCAGTAGCTGATCTACCAACCATAAAGCGATATTGCATGTCATCTATTTTCATCAATTGTCTCAGACGTTTTTCCAGTATTTTTTCGAAAACTTTAAACGTGGGTTCTATAGTTATCGGATTCCTCTATTGGAGCCACATTCTAATGGATCACCTTTTCCTGTAAAAAAAAGTGAATTTCACTTTAGCTACAGTCGGAGAAGATTATACCACAGTCCCAGATTTCCTTAAGGCCTTCAAAAAGTCCAGCAAGTCCACATTCCCCGGCAAATTTTATCGTTTTCGAAGTTCGCCCTGTTGGTCCTGGGCTTATCTTATTTTTAATCTCTCTCAGTGCAATTGCCACTTCCTGTATGTATATTCCTCCAATGGACCAGCCACTGGGGGATATCATCGGTTTCAAACAGATTTGCTTCATCAACACAATTTGAGAAGTAGCTTTGCAACAGCGAGAAAACATCTTGGCATCAAGTCAGGAGTTTTCCATCACATTTAATGAACTTTGTTCTAACCACATAATGTTTCATTAACTTGGTAAAACTGATCATTTTATGCCGTGTCTCTGTTTTTGAAATCTTGACACCATTAGTTGCTGGATTCTTTTTCAGCTTCAGCAACTAGCTGTTTCACGACTGTGTTCTGCCTCTGATATATCACCCAGTCTTCTTCTTTTCCAGACATCTGCCACTTTATGAAAAAACATATTTTCTTTTTGAATTCTTCGCCTGTTTTTATGTTCCAACAGAATGTTTTTCTTTTTCTTGCTGGTTGTCCGGTTGTTTCACGACATACGTTTTTCGCTTCTAGAAAAGTTGATTTGAAATTTTCCCGATTGGCCTGCATTTGATTATGTTCTAGCTTCTTTCTTATTTTCTCTTTGTACTTGACTTGGTTTTCTATTGCATATCAATTCCACGATCGTATTCTTTGAACTGGCGTTGAGTTATCGCGGTAAATGGGAACTTTAAGATAGAAATACACACATCAATTCTGTGCTGAGCATCACATTTTTCGTCCTTGATAACCTTCAATTTTTGATACGGCTTCTGTGCGTTGATCGTGTTAGATTGAAACCAATATGAGTGGAGTAATCATCTTCGCAGCGTTTCTTGAAGAAAGTGTTTAGGACGGCTAGCGTTTCTCAATAGTCACAAATAAAGCAGAGAACATATGCCATGAAACTACCAATGCTAGATCTTGTTTATAGCAAAAGTGCCACCAAACAGAAGAACACTTTTCTCTTTCAATTAACACTTTTATTTGCGAGATAGGTGTGCCATTCTGCCAGGCTGGTACAGCGCAACCTTCCGGCAGAACACGAAAGAACGATTAAAGGCCTTAACGACGAAAAAGTGCTGCGAAGGAGGGTAGAAATATTCTAGAATTTTCTATTTTCAAAATTTCGATTGAAGAACGAATATTTCTCATAAATACAAAAAACGGCCATTTCGACTGAAAAGAGTAAAAAAGTAAGAACAACAGCAAATATAGTGAAAAACAGTCGCACGTTAACACAGAAAAACAAAGCCTCTTATCGTGACAATCACGCACGATGAGACACTAAGCAGAAGAAAATAGTGGGAAAGGAGGCTTCAGTGGGGAAGGAATATTGAGCAGAACCCTCCCGTGCCACGAATTGAGAGTAATAACGACGTTATTACAAGGAGAACACGGAAGCGGAGGCTTGGTCCCCCAGAGACTGATATATGGTGAAAGACTGTAGTAAACTAACTTTTTAACTACTCTGCTGCCATAAACGTTTGAATTGACACCGGTATTATCTGATATTTTAGAATATGAGTAGCTAGAAAGAGGAAAGGGTCAATCCATCTCCAATGGATTTAATATAGAACTGTCAACAAAAACATAACAAAATAGGGTGTTCGAGCCGTGTTTTTAATAGCAATCACGTAGTCTGAGGATCCGAGACTCAGCTATGTGGTTGTTTTCGCATGTAAACGAAAGCTGATCAAAAGTCGTTTGACTGATGGCCTGAAAAAAGTAACTTTTTACTTAGCCCTAAACAGACCAGAAAATCAACTGGCTAGGTCGAGACGGTGAAAAACGGGTAGAATTAAGGTAACTGACGCCTGCCAGTCGTTAATAGGTACTTTTTCTACGCTCCGTCGCTGTGTAGTAATTGGGCAAATGTTACATAGACGTTTTTATGGCGCTCCTGGGTGGGCCAAAACTTCGTCCAAAAGGTGGTTTTTTAGCGTTCTCGCCTTCCGTTTCCAGTTCTGTTTCTCTTGCCGATTTCAATTTTTTAA